TGTGAAGGGCAGCGGCCTTGATCTTTGCACTGACCGGGCCCAGGTAAACTCAGAGTTATTTTCACTCATCTGATTTCACCGGGATTCGAACTCAGGACTTTTTTTCGACAGTTGGTGGGTGTACCAGCTGACCTAGGCCAGTTTGTAATATTCCATATGAAGCGGGTTGAGGAGGTTGAGAAGCGCCATCAAATGGGAAAAAAAAAAAAAAAAAAAAAAAAAAAAAAAAACCGAGTTTAGGCGATGGAGTTCGTCTCTTCCTACTGCGGTTTTTTGTTGTCCTAATATTCTGCCAAGAGAAAGGATTACGAGTTCTTTTTCCATATTTGGTTTTGCTTTTCTCCTCGGAGTCCCTCCCTTTTTTTTTTTATACCTTTTTTTTTTTTTTTTGAGTTCTTTTTCCATATTTGGTTTTGCTTTTCTCCTCGGATTCCCTCCCTTTTTTTTTTTCTTTTTTTTTTTTAAGAAGGAAAGAAAGAAAGAAGGGAGTGGGAAGAGAGGGGGGAAGCAGTAATGAAGATAGAAGTGCAACTTCAAGTTCTTAGCTGGAAGTCAGGAGTGTGCATGTGTTTCATGATGCCACACTCTGAGCGGTACTCTTCATGTCATGACCTCAATCCTCAGTTCAAGTTACTTGCCAGTAGGATCGCCCAACAAGTGTCACTATTATTCATATCTCCTATTTGACTTAGAGCATTGTTCCGTCTCTTTAATGAAAAAAAACATAAAAAAAATTGAGAAGGTTTTTATTTTTATACCCTGATTGTGTCAGTACTACTCGAAGGAAAATAAGCAATGTAGACAATAGAAATTGCCACGTGGAAAAGTGGTTAAGTGGTTGGTGTGATGCTATCTGAGTTGGGGTGTGGCTGGGTTGGTGCAATCTGGGTTGGTTGCTGCCCTGTGGAGCGTTGTCGGAGCAAATACCCTTACATGAGATTTTGTCCATATTTTGCAAAGGACACAACAATGTAACGGCTGCTATGGTGCCGGTCTAAAGGTTAAACTGACGGACAAATTGAGTGCCCTAGTACGATACCTTGACGGACTCCTCGACCGATAAAGCCGAGGCATGAGTTAAAGATATTAAGCCCCGACCATGTGGCGAGGCAACCATGCAGGTAGGTTAATTTCCTTTTTTTTAATTTCTTTGTTTTCTCCGCCGGAAGTTGTTATTTTATATTTTTATTAGGTTTCGGTTTTGACAGGACATTTTGGATTACCACTCTGAATAATTCATAGTTTACATTGTCAAGAACGATTTAGTGGTGGCCCTGGTGGGTAGGGAAAAGGAGCATCACAGCCACCCACCGTGAATGTCGGGAGAATGTGGAACGAGGGACATTTATCCTCGAGTAGCAATCATGCCTACCTACGTATGTGGGACCTGGGCCCTTAAAACGTCCAGATTCGGCAAAAGTATTGCGAAACTGGAAAGGAGTAGCACTATGGATGGTCCGACGGTAATAACCTAGAACTTTAGATTGTTGATTTATTAATATATAATATATTATTACTTCTTTTTGGATTATTAAATGTTTAGTATGAATCTTCCCTGGTTCAAGGGGCAGGTTCAAAAAAAGGTGGTTCCACATATGATCATTGACTATACCTATTTCCCATTCCCAATGAAAACGAAACTTAATGTTCCTTCTTGCATTCTTGCTCCTCCAGATGCACATCGGTTTGGACCTCCACTTAGTTTTACCCAAATACAATAAATTATATACATACAATAAATTATATATATACAATAATTCTAAATCCAATATACTGGGCTCGAGTCCGATAACAAAAAGCATCTTGAAAAGAATTAAAAGGTAACCGTCGCCGAAGGCCACGGCTCTTGCCCGGGTTCACTATAAGAATACGACACTACATACAAACAAAGGTATCTATCGTACGTATACTCATAAGCAGCCTGCAATCCGAACTGAGACCGGGTTTTTGAGGTTAGCTCGAAGGGGGAATCCAATTATTGTTTGGTTGTTCTGGAGGTCTTACACCTTGATAGTGTATCCACCATCCTTGTGTTTTGGTTCCCCAATTTATCTTCATATCTGACAGGGAACAAAATATGTCCATCAACCTTTRGATTTCCATCAAGTTGTCTCGAGAGGCTTCCACCATTAGAGAAAGATCATCTGCAAACAAGGAGCATATTGGGAGGGYTTTTTTAGGTATATAGCTAATATCAATACGTTTGATATCCTTATTGCATCGTAAATTAGCTGCTAGGGAACAGGAATGGGGCGATGGGGTCACCCTATCTCACTGAGCGTTCTAATTCAATGGGAGGAGCCAAATTTTCATTCACTATCACACGAGTTGTAGCATTTGCATGTAGAATTTTTATCCATCTTCTGAAGCTGGGACCAAAGTTGAACTTTTCTAGACATTTGTCTAAGAAGTGTCAGTCTACATGGTCATAAGCCGTTTCAAGATCAATGAAGATGAAGGTTGTATTATATAGAGAGTTTGACTAGTTCATTTACCAGTAGGATGTTGTCTTGGATGTCCCTTCCTTCAAGGAAACCTGTCTGTGTGGGATGTATGATGTCTATCATGACCTTCATGAGTCGATTTGTAACTGTTTTTGCTGCCAAATTGTAGACTAATGTGAGTAGGGTGATTGACCTATAGTTACGTATGTTTGTTTTATCTCCTTTTTTGTACAATAAGATCAACTCGGATCACTGTCTCATTGCTCGAACGCGTGAATCTGGATGTATGCAGTCTCTAAACCACATCTTGTTGAAACGAGTCTAGATTCATATTGTATCTGAGGCAACGCGATCAGGAGCGGAAGATAGCGGGTGCGCGTCAGGAACATGAGCACGCGAACACGAACGTGAGTTCAAACGGGTGTGAGTGGGGGTACGCAAGCATCAATGCGAGTCGAAACCTGGCCGCAATGGGCCGGCGTAAAATCAGGAGCGGGAGCTAGCAGGTGCGAGTCAGGAACATGAGCACGTGAACACCAGCGTGAGTTCAAACGGATATGAGTCGGGGTAAGCAAGCGTGAATGCGAGTCGAAACTTGGCCGCAATGGGCCAAAGTGAAAGAGAATACATGACATTGTGTGAAAAGGCGAAAGAAGAGAGGGAAAAGAACGAGGGGAAAGAGAAAGGGGAATGTGCGAAGGAGAAAGGAAATTACAGGGCACGAGAGGGAAGAAAGAAGGTGAAAGGGGAGGAAGAAATCACATAGAAGAAGAACGAGAAGCTGATCACTGGGAGGACGA